CTATTCTATTCTATTCCATTCCATTCCATTCCATTCCATTCCATTCCATTCCATTCTGCTCTTATTCTATTCTGCTCTTATTCTACTCTACTCTATTAAACAACTGCAGTGATTCAGTTAAGAATTGTGACAAGAAAAGTCGTAAAATGGGGCCAAACTCAGTTAACAAATTTCTCACATAGCAACATAAATTTTGGGCTCAATCATGGTTGTAAATTGAAGACTACCTTAGTTTGAAGTGGATACATTCTTCCTCCTGTGTTAAGCATTAAGCATACAATAAGCTTATTATGTTTTGTGGGGAGGGGAATCATCCCCCTCTTCCCATCACACAATCAACTTTAGTCACTAAAATTCTGAGCAAACCTAGGATGGAAAAAAATCTTCGCCTGATGAGTCCAAGAACCAGGAAGATCTTAAGATGTAAGGATTTTGAAAGATCTCTGCTTGATTATTCTAAAACGGGGCTCTCCAACCATGGCAACTTCATGCTGGCTGGGGAATTCTGGGATCTGAAGTCTGCAAGTCTTAGAAATTTACCAAGTTTGGAGAGCTCCGGTCTAAAGAAAACAAGCTGGACTCATGTCACACACTAAGTCACGTTTAAGGCTAACCAAACTTCACAGGTTGCATAAATGCGCCCCAGGTCCCGGTCAAGCCTATCGCGAGACACTAACTAGTCTTAAGAAAGTCAACTCTTTCCTCCTTCCTTCAGAGCCAACTCCATCATTGGTGTCACTGGTGAGATGGACATGGTCCATGCATCCCTCTGCAATGACCTGGTTGAGGGCTTCTGCTGAGTTATTACAAGCCAGGGAAGTAAGACCGATTCAGAGGTGACCTGACTTGTTAAAGAGTTCGTGCATGGGAAAAGTTCAAAGGTTTGGTGGTATCAAAGCGGGCATCTTACCTGGTGATGATGGCAAGGTGCGGAGGGCTCATGCAGGCCCCCATGAACAGCACCACATTCTCGTGCCGCGTCTGCCGGTAAGCCATGACTTCCCGCTTGAAGGCCTTCAGCTGGTCCTCGTTGTCCCGCTCAATGTCAATGAGGCGGATGGCTACCTCCCCGTGCCAGCGGCCGTGGAACACCTGCCCGAAGCGGCCCTTGCCGATCAGCTCTCCAATCTCCAGCTGCTCGAAGGGAATGTCCCACTCCTGCAGGAAGATACTGGTCTGGCTGGCTTTCCGGGGAAAATTACGAGCGGAGAGGAGGGAGAGGTTCATCTCCTCAAAGTCGTCCTCGGATTCCTCATCGTTTCCCTGTTCGGTCTGAAAAAGGGAGAAGAGAAGGTCTTGATTTATGCCACACACCTGTAGGAGATGAATAGGCTGAGCCCGAGGGAGAGGTCAAGCACGTTATAAGTCTCGAATCGCTTTGCATCCACAAGGGATCTAAGTCCAGCCAACCTTGAATTCCACTGATTCTTATCTACTGCTAATTCGACTTGACCGTTAGTAGTTCGGATTCTTGTAGAGAGTGTTAGACTAAACCTACAGCTGCTACCGGTTCTCACTGGTTTGGGTGAACCGGATGTTAATTTTACATCCGGTTCACCAAACTGGTATGACGAAAGCCTCCCGATCCCAGGGAGGGTGAAAACGCCCCCTCCGCCATGGTGCTGGAGGCCGAATAGGCCACAGCCACCAATGGCCACATAACCTTGGTTCCTGATTTCTGGCTAATACCACCAGCTCCAACAAATAACCTTCCTCCTCCAGATTAACGGTAGGTAGGAATAAAGCAAGTGGCAAGTGGGACCAAAGGAAGGTGAGCAGAGTCACTAGCTATAACCTTTCTGTCAACTCATAAAATATTTCCGAAACTGCATTCCATGGATGTTTTCATAGATAGTTTCCAGGCGACCGAAGTTTCTGCCAAGCAAAATTCTAACTGGAGAGTATGATTGATGACTCTTGGCTATGGATGTGTCCCGTTGGAGAATATGAATTATGATACACCCAGGGGGTTGGGGGAAAACAAGGGTCAAGGGTGACAATTAATGATCTGTCTCAAAGTCGGCTACACTCAGGCAGTGCTGGACATGTTAACTCCCAATAAATCTTCTTTGAGCTTTGAAAATCCAGCTAAAGACTCATGATTTAAATGGGGGTAACTACCGGAACCCTGACACTTTTCACTTTCTTCCTTCATTGTCCCTTTTTCTTGTTCTTGTACCCACTTCCCCTAAGTCCAGAAGTCTGCTAGAAGAGGACCAGATCACTCTTGATCTGAATTCCAATGGCCAGCTTTTGAGATTAGCATAGGGCCTGCAACCCAAAGAGTGCTACCTCCTCATTTATAAGCAGAGTCAGAATTATGGGAATGGGGTGAGGTGGGGTTTAAGAAACTATATGCCAATTCACATCCTCTCTCTATATGATCTCCTGACTTAGAGGGACATCTGAGAAGGTAGAATGCTAGGATTCCTCTCCTACCAACACTTGACCAACTACCAACCCTCCTACCAACCGCCAGCATTTTGAGCATTGACTTCACCAAAAGTGAGTTTTCTATAAGCATCAGTTTTAAGGTGGCCTTGAAAGGTAATAAAAAGCTTGAGTTCGATTTGCCCAAGGACAGACAGTATATAATTTGGGGAAAATAACACGGTCAGCTGTGTGGAGAAGATAAAGAAATAGTAAGGGAAGTTGGGATTAGTGAATGATGGTCTCAGGGAATTACTTCTGAATTGTTCCCTTCCACCGGTAGCCTAAAAGCCACACGTTTGTACAAAGACACACCTGAAGTCAAATAATGTTATTTCTAACTGTCCCATTCAGATGAAATTTAGAAGCATCGAAATAGGATTGTGCATTCTAATATCATCCACATGACATAGGTAGAGGTAAAGGTTCCCCTTGCACATATGTGCTAGTTGTTCCCGGCTCTAGGGGACGATGCTCATCTCTGTTACAAAGCCAAAGAGCCAGCGCTGTCCAAAGACGTCTCCGTGGTCATGTGGCCAGCATGAGTAAACACTGAAGGTGCACGGAATGCTGTTACCTTCCCACCAAAGTGGTCCCTATTTTTCTACTTGCATTTTTTACATGCTTTCGAACTGCTAGGTTGGCAGAAGCTGAAACAAGGAACAGGAGCTCACTCTGTGATGGGGCGCTAGGGATTCGAACCGCCAAACTGCCAACCTTTCTGATCAACAAGCTCAGCGTCTTAGCCACTGAGCCCCCACGTCCCCTTATGACATAGCTCGTCCTTTGAGATCCAAGGCATGGAGATTTCGGTGTGAGCAAGAATGGGTCCCATGCTAACTGCTCCACCAGGTCAATGACAGCTAGATGTGACACTTAACCCTGATTAAATGCAGCACAGATCAAAAGTTGTTAGAGTGATCCAATGAGGGCTTCCCAAAATGAAACAAGCCACAAACCGCTGCTGGAGATCACTGAGCCCTTCCTCCCAAGATTCATTCTGTTTCACCCCAAGAGAGTCTCTCTACTCCTCACATGGATCTTACCTCGGAGGTTGGCTCCACTTCAATTTGAAGTACTGGATTCCCTTCTCGGCTTTTGAGGAAAACAAACACCACAAGAAAACAAACACCACAAATTATAAACCATGAATTGCCTCGAGCTATAGAAAACAGATCCATCATCATCATCTGTAACTCCAGGATGGGTTCACACATAATGTGGTTTCTTCCACTAACTTCAAACACTTTAACCTCAGACTGTCTACTGTTGACCTCACCCCATTCCTAAGAGGTCTGTAAGGGGCGTGCATAAGCGCATCAATGTGCCTACCGTCCCTGTCTTAATGTTCCCTTTTATTTATATCTATTTCATGTATTAATAATCATGTTAATACATACATACACAAACACACACACACATAATCAAATGCATGCTTGACAAATAAATAAATAAAATAAATAAATAAAAAATAAAGCTACGCTATTATTTTGGGTTGTTATTTTGGTTTGTTCAGCTTAATTGTTTGGGCTTTGCAAACCAAAGGGTATGGCCAGCCAAGGACGACCTAACCATTAAACCATGGTTAACAGAAGTGTGTGATGTATGAACCCATTCCAAAGGTTTTATTGCTTCACATCACTTCAGACCTGATTCTTCATTCAGTTTTCGCAGTAGACAGAGTTCAGCTCTTGATTGACAGAAACCGAATAACAACTTTCAAAGGAATAAATGGTTTGCAGTTTTCATCGCAAGTAACACAAGAAAAGATTATTCTCTCCTGACACCTTTCAACAGGCCAAGAGCTATTGCTAAAATGGCTTGCGATATGGGGGGGGGGAACCCTCTTACAGACAAAAATAATAGTGCATTATAACACATGTTGGAGTACAGTTAATTGTGCTGAAAAATGTGCAACAACCCATCTGAAGTTCACTCAAAATCTAAATTGATTCAGAGATCAAATATTAATTTCTTGAGAGTTAGTTTGACGGGTTGCCAGACTAAATACAAGTTTTGGCATATATCATTAGAAACCTCCAACGTCCACTAGGTTTCTGAAAAATGACATGTACGACACTCATCTGAAATTTGCTTTTTCCTGGTAAGTTACACTACATAGTTAATGACATGAAAACAAATGAATTTATTTTTGAACAAATGCTTTGTGGAGTGTTGAGCAGAGCATCGGTGGTATGAGAAATGGAGTTTATTTGAAGGAAAGGACATTTCAAGAATGGCAGAGAGAGAGAGAGAATGAGAATGAGAGAGAAAGAGAGAGAGAAAAAGAAAACCAAAGAGAAAGAGAGAAAAAGAAAAGAATGAAAATGAGACAGAAAGAGAAAGAATGGGAATGAGAGACAGTGAGAATGACAAAGAAAAAGAGAAAGAGAGAAAGAATGAGAGACAGAGAATGAGAAAGAATGAGAGAGAGAGAACAAGAATGAGACAGAAAAAGAAAGCACGGGAATAAGAGAGAGAGAATGAGAAAGAGAAAGAGAGAGAATGAGAATGAGAGAGACAGAGAAAGAATGAGAGACAGAGAGACAATGAGAAAGAAGAGAGAAAGAGAGAGAATAAGAATGAAAGAGAAACAGAGAGAGAAGAAATGAAAGAGAACAAGAGAAAGAGAACCAGAGAGAGAGAGAGAGAGAACATCTGAAGACAGCTTACACTGGTCTAAGAGGAAAAAGCTGAATGTTCCCCTTGAACCTTTTGTCCCTAAAAGAGTGGAATGAGAGTTGAACCAGCATGGAATATCTGGGGCTGCTGAGTCAATTTTTCACACAAGTTTCATTGATTGTCAGCTAATCTTCTATAGCCCAGGCTCTAGCCGAGCGAGGCTGCCCACATAAAAATTACTTCGCCTTTCAAGAGCCCTGGTTCAACTTTAAGAGAGAGGTCACCTTCTAATGAACCCATTGCAAGAAGTGGATTTGGAGAGCTGGGTGAGAAGGCGGGGGGGCTACTCCGTATCTCAACAGGTCCGGCGTCATAAATGTATCTAAGGCTGGGTACTTTCCCAGCTAAGTTTGCCAAATAGCCACATTTCACATTTTACTTCAGTAGAACTTAGATGGGTATTTTTTTTAGATGGGTGGGGTGGAATGTGGGGTGAGTTAGAGGATAAAGCCAGTGGAAATTAGCACCTGGAAGCTGATCTACAATAGGATCTAAAGGCCAAGCTGATGAAGGATGTAAGAAAGGCAGAAAAACATCTTCAGATGTAGAGTAGAATAGAGTAGAATAAAAAATAGGGTAGAGTAGAATAGAATAGAAAGAGTATAATAGAGTAGAAATAGAGTAAAGCAGAGTTAAATAAAAACAGAGTAAATAGAGTAGAAAGAGTAGAGTGGAAATAAAGCAGAATTCAGTAGAGTAGAATAAAAAAAATAGAGTAGAAGAGTAAAGAGTAGAAGAATAGAGTAGAATAGAAATAGAGTAGAATAGAAGAGTAGAGTAGAATGCAAAATAGTAGAGTAGAGTAGAGTAGAGTAGAGTAGAGTAGAGTAGAGTAGAGTAGAGTAGAGTAGAGTAGAGTAACAAGAGTTGGAAGGGATCTTGGAGGTCTTCTTGTCCAACCCCCTGCCCAAGCAGAAGACCCTGCACCATTCTTGACAAATGGTGCCAAAGAGGACTCCATGTAGGTATGGAGAAGGCATTCTTTCCTTCTGTATTTCATGCTAGTCTCAACTGGCTTTCTCCAAAGCTCTATGCAAAACGTTAATTATGGAAGGATCCCAGAATGCAGATATGAAAAATAATGACACAAGAGTATTGGTCTGAGTAGGGACAGAAGATGAACCTCAGCCTGAATTTCATACAGGGGTGTGGCAGCCCGGACAACTTTTCTTCTTATTTATTTATCTATTAAACTTTCATGCCACCTATCTCACTTTGCCAAACGACTCTGGGCGTTTTTTTTTTCTGACCAGGACTCACACAAAGCTTGTTAGGGAATTTAAATGCAAATGGAATTGCAGACTAAATCGACAGAAGGCGAACTCATATGATTATCCTCCGTGGTTTCGATGATAACTTTCCCTCTGCCAGACTTACAGACAACTGTTGGAAGGGGCTGGGGACCACCCCAAGGTTTGTGGGGAGGGGTAACATATGGTCCTGGAGCTCCTTCGAGCGTTTGGGGCAGGAGGGAAGGGAGCCGAAACCCAAGATGGGAGAAGTTGGCAGACCTTCCAGGAGGAAAGATGGGATGCCTGATTTCCATTCTTTCTTTTAACTTTGCCACGATTGCTTTCTCTCTCGCTTAAGCTCTCCGAAGAGCGGTGGTTGCTAAAAGAGAAAACGTGTGTGAAGAAAGAAGGCAACTGACTGTTTTGGTTGTGTAACTAACGATGATTCTTCGGTCTTCCCTGAATTCTCAAAGCAAAGAAAGGAGAGCGTGGGAGAGGGGGGGGGAGAAGACCCAAGGTTGAGGCGTGGGAGGAACTCTGAGGACCAGGTTAATGGTGAGAAATGAGGCTGCTGCCTCCTCCTCCTTCATTACGAACAAGTCCCCCTTTCTTTCTCTTCTTTCTCCTCCTCCTCCTCTATTATGAAAAAATTTCCTCCTCCTCCTCCTCCTCCTCCTCCTCC